TGAGACATTGAACGACCGGCCCTGAGCTTGCTGCTGCTGCTTCTGAGCGTTGGCTCAGCTGACAGGGTTGAGCGCCATTTATCATGTCCAGTGACGAGCGAATTGTTGGAGCTCTGCTCTGATGCAAGACTTGATTCGGGTATGAGAGCACGAAGATGAGCGGTAAGCGCTGTGCTGAACAGTCTCTTGCTCGCATAGATTGTCTTGGTGCTAGTTGAAGATCAGCAGCTGGTGCGTCGCGAAAACCACGCACTCTCACACTAGAAAGCAGCACGATTCGCCGCGGTGTGCTTCACTTCTCAACACGATGGAGACACTGTGCATTCACCAGAGAATCGTATGGCTACAAGGACGTGCTGACACCGAGCGGTAAGATATGAACAGGAAATGATAATGCAAGGGAGTCGGGTGCTCATCACGCCCCAGCTGCCGACTTCTCGTCTTGTGCATCCGGCGCCGAAGTGTTTCTCTTCTCTGCATGTTTTCGTCTATGGTGCAGACCCTCAATATCGCCAAATTCGTTCTCCCCTTCATCCTCGACCACACGATGACCTCCTCTAGCTTTCCTCTCGTCCGACAGACTGCTTGCAAACTTGGACTTGCTTCGCACGTAGGCTCCCTTGAAGTAGAAGACGAAGATGGGAATGACGACAAAGATGCCGACGAGGGCCAAAAAGGTGCTAGCCCACTGGTAACCCAGGTTGCTGTAGAGAGGGATGGCGTACATCGTCGCCACGCCTGCAAGGCCATTACGCGCAAATGCATTGCCACCGGTAGCCGAAGAAGAGTAGGGTCCGTAAGCTGCGACCATGTAGTCGATGGTGGCCATGTAGATGGCGTAGTTGGCGATCGCTACGAGCACCGAGCCTACCATGGGAGCGTAGACGGGAATGCCAGGCCCGTGGTCTGGTCCGAAAGAGGTCCAAGCGTAGATAAAGAGACCGATGGGCTCCAGAGGAGCTGTGAAGAGCAGCCACCAGAGTCTAGATTCCGGAGTGACACTGTCAGGATCGCGCTTGGCCCTTCTCTTGAAACGCTCGATGGGGATAATCATGGAAGCCCAACAGATGATGTAGCCGATCCAGATGGGCACAAAGGTGAGAGCGGTGCGTGGTGCCATGAAGCCCCATTGCTCGTACACCAGCTTGAAAGACTCGATGAAGACGAAGACGAGAGAGTCGGAGAAGCCGCTGAGCAGAGAGCAGCAAAGCACGATTGGCTCGGTGAAGAGCATTTCGAAAGGTCTCAACCAGGTGGTTAGGATACCTCGGACGGTAAAGCGCTTGCCGCGAATCTCGTTGGGACCCCAAATCTCCTGGCCCTCCTTGCGCCGCCGTTTGGCTTCGCGATCCAGCAGGACGGAAGAGCGGGTCTCGGGCACTGTGAAGAAGTGCACGGCTTGGACGAAGCCACCAAAGATGAGTTGCAGCCAAAAGATCCAGTGCCAAGAGAGATAAGCCTCGGCAAAGGGACCGATAAGAGGGCCGAGCGAAGAGCCGCCGACGCTTGAAAAGACGACGTAGGCGATGGGATACGCCTGATTCTCCGCTTCCCACATGTCCGCCACCATTCCCAATGTGACGCTGCCTCCTGCACTGAACAGACCTCCAAAGACTCTTGCAACGACAACGGATCCGTAGTTGGGCGCTAGGGCGCAGGGAAGTTGAAAGATGTTGACCAGACCGAGGGAGATTTGCATGACGATTCTTCTTCCAAGCTCTTCGGACCAGGGAGCCCAGAGTTGAGAGCCGAAAGCGTATGCGATCAAAAAGACGGCAGCTCCTACGCGCGCGCCTTGTTCGGACAAGCCCCACTCTTCGGGAAACTTGCCCACACCGTTTTGGTAGACGCCCGTATTGAAGTTCATGGACAGCTGCACCAGAAAGATGACGGTGATGATCCACCATTTTTTCCACTCTGGAAAATTGACGCCCAGCACCTTGTCCGCACCTTCATCTTCATCCGTCAACACTCGTCTGCCATCCGGCGCAAATTTGCCCATGAACTTGCCACTCCTTGTGCGGTGCTCGATGGGCTCCTCCAGCTCTTCTTCTTCTTCTGGCTGCTGCTGCTCTTCCCTCTTTTCCGCTTGCGTCTGCGTCTCCTCCGAATCGGGAGTGGTGACGGTAGCATCGACGACGGTGTTCTTGGTGTCGTTGGGGTCCTTCACCTCCTTGCTCTGGTCAGGTGCAACTTGTGACGACGACGACGCGTCACTAGACGATTCCACGGCCATCTTGCAATCCAGGCTGGCGCGTGGCAGAGAGGCAGGAGGAGAGGGGGTGGCGAACAGCTACTACTGCTCTGACGGTTCGGGGAAAGCGATGCAATACTCGATGGGGCTCTCCCAACACGTCTCGACGGTCGAACAGCCGAGCGATGAATGACGAATGGCGTAGATGGTGGTGAACAGCACTGCGCAACGCAACAGCGTTTCCTCTGTGGGATGGGTGTCTGTGGGTGCTTATGTATCCATGCAGCGATTCGACCTTGATCGCTCATGCGTCGAGGCGTGCCGAGAGATCGGGTGCGGGGGGCAAGAAAGCTCAAAAGCAGAGGAGGAAGCCCATCGATCGATCGCGAGCGGGTGCGTGCCATGGGGTGGAGGCAGGGCCTCACCGTAAGGGGTCCCAGGCACCGGAGCACTCGCCACTCAAAGCGTGAGCACGGCACGGCACAGCGGCCCTTCGCAGCAGCAGAAGGATGCCAAATCGCCGAGCGCATCGCATCGCATCGCATCGCATCGCATGCATGTGCTATGTACCAATCAAGAATCAATCACCCGAGAGGCGGGACAGTCAAGCAAGCAGGTTCAGAGAGAAAGGGTCCGTCCTGTAAATCCCACATGCGACTTCATTGATTTTAAAAGTCAAGAGTACTCTGTATGCCGTCCATTCACGTTGACATCACCCCTGATGATGCCGTCGGTCAAGGCGGGCGGGCGGGCGGCACAGCGGTACAAGAGGGAAGGGAGGCACGGAGCGGTACATGCGGCCAAGCGCGGCTTGCGGGCGGACAACTGATGCCGTGCTGAAGGTGCATGGCATGCATAGCTGCGATTTGAATTCAAGTACTGCATGAGTGCACATATCAGAATCACCAAATGCAGGTTCTGCATCGATCGCATCGCTCAAGTGAATGTGCATATTTCGATGTCGCAACTCGCGCAGGCAGCAAGTCTGTAAGTGGAGTCGTGCCTTGACTTGCGTGTCCAGCCGATCGATCAAACCCGTCGTGCGTCCTGAATTGCCAGAGGACTCACACTTGACTGTGGCCGCTGCTCTGCTGAAAGTGCCGCTCGTGTTTGCGTGTTTGGGCGGATGAGCAGTTGTTCGCTCGATCGATGAGCTTTGTGCGAGTGTGCGACAATCACAATCTGAATTGCGTCTGCTCGCCGCGTGCGTGAATGCGCATGCTGCATACCTGCAGGGTCCCTGCATACACACGTCATTTCTTCCCGTGCCGGCAGGGCGATGCAAGCAGCAGCTCGATGACGCGCGCGTTTGCCAAGCAAACCCTGGCTGCGCGTGACTCGTGACTGTATGTAGCGGGCGAGCGAGCGGGCGGGC